TATATATATATATATATATATAAAGGTATATATGGGGAGGAAGATTTTTAGTCAGGAACTCTAATACTGACCTTTTAAAATGCCTCAGTATTTGCCAATTTACACTACTCGTTAGTTCTGTAATACTTAGAAGAACATGATCTTTATGAGAGTAAGTGCAACATAAAATTGTGGCACCTGGTTTATTTAAAAAGAAAATGCTGCTCAGCATGAATTTTTCAGTTTTACTCTCATTACTGGTGATATGTCTGCTACGCTCCGAGGATTTTTCTCAGGCACTTTTAGATGTAGGGGTTGTGTTGCTGTGCTTTGCTCCACCATTAATCCCCAAAGGTGTTGGGGTTTGAGCCAGATCATAGATCTTACTTTCTGTTTTTCCTCTATGTTCTTTGGATCATTTTTACTATCCTGATATTTTTCTGGACTGCCAAGTTTCTGCACTCGATCGTCATCGTACAATCTATTAGTCTGATGAATTTGTCTTTGAGCAAAATAAGATAACACAGCATGAAGCTTTCTTGGTCATTTCAACTGCACTGGTCTTCTGGTACATTCTGTATAAAAACAAAAAGAGAAAGGGAGTGTCAGGTAAAACAACTCGATGTTTGTACTCAACTGTCAACAACCGCAATGTCTTATTTTAAAAAAAGGCACAAAATAGATCTCTGTTGGGATTTTAAAGGAAAAGATAAGAAAAGTTCAACATATTTACCAAATAAAAATCTGAAAAATATAACTTTATATGACTTTGTATGTCTACACTCACACTCAATAACTTTATAAAGACGGAAGTTACTGCTGCAGGTCCTTTAAGGTAAGTCTATACTAGTATTGCACATCTGAGGGGTAAAACGCTTTGCCTGCTCTTTATTGAGAAAATTGATCAATCTCACCCAGATTTAGTGAAATGTTGGTGAACTTAATTTTTAGTCATGCCACAGGTTCCCAGTTTGATTTCCCTTTCTTATTTGACTCATCTATGCTTTGCTCTAATGCAATCTACCTCTGGCTGTATGTTAAAAGGTCATTGTCCTGCTTAGGGGTGAGCACCTGCCCCATAGCTCAAGCCTTTTGCAGCCACTCTGACCAGTTTCCCAAGTACCTAGTATGGTGCCTTAACCAAATTATAAATTTTCCCTTCTCTATCCTTTTTTATTAGTACTTAAAATTTAAATAAACTTGATTTAATACCATTTCAGTCTTATTATTCCACCTGTACATATATTTCTTTAAAAATAGCATGCATGTGTGATCTCACTATTTGAGACGGAGCTTCTAACACATAGGCTGAGGACGCAGGAACAGCAATGCTTAGACAAATGGGAAAAATGGACAAACTTCACATCAACGATTCTGGACTAATTTTGGAAATGGATGGTCCCCATGTGTTTTGCGTTACTAAAATATGAGTCTCCCCCTGTTGTATGATTTTTGCCTCGATTGTTCTGTACTTTTTGTCTATTATAATTTCTATGTATTGTTTGCTAATAACGACCAAAATAAAAATAAAGTTATAAAAAAAAAATAAAAATAGCATGCATGCAAAAATAGTCATTCGCCTTCAGTATCTATGCTTTACAGACATTGCCACCCTTTTTAAAATTTGATTTTCAGACGTAGCTCTTTGCTTAATTCAGTGGTTTTTCTAAAATAAATCAGTGACTTAAGCTTATGTGTTAAATATGCTTTGCTTACAAATCAAATATGACTTTCTAAAAAAATACAAACATCAGTTAGATAATCAGGGCTTCCTTAGCTGTTGTTTCCTCACTGTGATGCAGCACTCTGCTCTGTTTATAGTTCATACATACCCTGCTGTCCTCCCTCCCCGCAGCATTACAGCACTTGTTTGTCTCAGTCAGTACAAATTGTCCCTGTCAGAACAAAGAAAAACATCAAACACTCGTGAGTATCCAACATGCCAAATCCTGTAAGCGTTGTAAAGCTGCTACTGTACATATCACATTATTTTCCCGGTGTTTCTCACTCTCTGGCTTCCCTCCTCACTTTTGAGTAAATTACTTATGAAACATCAAAACCATGGGAATTTTCACAGTCATAAAATATCTCCATCTTTCTGCTGAATCCCTGCAGCAGCACTAGCAGGTTCAAGGAGATATTCTAGGAACTGCTGCTGTTGCTGGTCGTGGAAAATACAGGCGGTTACTTTGCCTCATATTCTGACTTTTCAACACAGAAAAAAAAAAATCCTCAAATCCGGTTTGAAGTTTGTTGCAGACCAACACAATGTCATGCTTCATTTTGAAGTAGTATTTTACCTGAGTAAAGATGCTTCTTATTGGTTCATAGGTCAAATAGTGGAGTCAACCTTTGTGTAAGTTTATGCTCTTCTGCTTAGTGAAGATCTCAAAAGTCTGTTAGATAATATAAACGAACAAGGTAAGAGAGTTAGGGTAGAAACCTAAAGCAGGGTTAGGATATGAATTAATAAATAATTAAACCGAAAGCATAACTCATTTAAAAACAGACCTGCCAAGAGAAAATGGTAACTGTGAAGGAGCTACAGAGATCAGTGAGTCAAGGGGGAGAATCTGTTGAAAACTGCTCACACATTAGCCTCTAGGAAAGAAGAAGAAAGTTGTTTAAAGTAAAAACCATTGCATGTTTGTAGTGATAAACCAAGTTAAATTTTTGTGCCTGCAAAATACTTACCTTTGCAAACAAGATGAATTGTCGTGAGATTTGGAAATTCCCAAACTCCCGAAAATACATCATGCCAGAAGCCAATAGATGCATTAGCATCAAACACAGAAATGTTTCGGACCAATAAAATGCAGTGGCATGTACGACGTCAACCAGAAGTGGCAGGCTGAAGGAAAACAAACATGGCTGCTGGAATGCACTCTATTTATTAAAAAAAAAAAAAAAAAAATTGCAAAGTACGCGATCTGGGCGTTTGTCAATGGTAAAGAATTGTAGTCAATGTCCCTCCCTTTTGCAAATACTTTCCACAGAAGCCTTTGCAGATGGATACTGTGTAGAATTCATACTGCACCACAGGTATTAATCTGGTAAAATACCAACAATATCCATTTGGAACCCTCCTCAGTGTGGGACATCTTAGTGTGAGTTGTTATTGACAGAAAACATGGTCATGGTAAATGAGATGGATGAAGCCTTATACAAGACAATCCTGGAAGAATCCACAGTAGGTTGCAAAAGACTGTAAACTGAGGTACTGGTCCTCCTGGAATCGATTAAATCAAAGCATATTGGTTTGTTAGAATGTCCTAGCCAAAGTCGAGAGTGAAAAGAAATAAATAAAATCAGTGTCAGCACCTGCATCCACTCCTTTCGGTCTAACTGGGCTGTAGCTGCTTTTCAAAGAACACACTACAAACATGACATTTTGTTGATGTGGAAAGTTGACCTACAGCTGTAGAACCTGAATAAAACACTTGACCTTTTCCTTCCTCTTCAACGTTTCAACTGCTTTCTGTTGACGTATCACCTAAGAATCCTGTAAAAGACCTTGAAGTTTGTGGTTTGCAAAATTGAAAAAGTGGAAAAAGTACAAAATGTGTTTTTACTTCTGCAAGGCCCCTTAGGAAAAAAAGAAGGACAAATAGTGATCTAATAATAATGCCATTTTCTATTTCCTTTTTTTCTTCTTAGGGATGCTAAGAATATGGCCAAAGATGTGAATGACACCCTGCTGGAGATGATTAAAGCTGAGCTGCAGGTGGACCAACTGGAGGCCATGAAGACTCTGGCAGGACTTAGAGAAGAAAAGCGCTACTTACAGGACATCTGGGCCTGACTGTAGAGGAACATACTGTATAAGACTTTTTTTGCTGCATCTGCTGAACTACCAAATACGTCTAAAGTAAAAGAAATACAGCCTTCTCAGCTGTAACCTCCTGATCCATAAAATGATTGCTGCAGATGCCTGAAGGTAGTTTACACCAGCCAATGTCACCAAGATAGAGCGACCCATGTGACCTGTGGATATCGGTTCAGTCCACCTCTCTTGCCTTTGCTGTTTAAACAGAACTGACCTTGGTCATTGCAGCAGTGCTGGAGATTCGCCCTGTGGTGTGAAAAGCCTTTTAGTGCCGGTTTGTCCTTTCTGATGAAAAGGCATTTATTACTGTCAGCCTTAATGGAGTGACTTTGATGAGACTGAGAGCAGGATACTTTTACCACCTTGGCAGCACATTGATGTGTATTTTTAAACACAAATAAAATTATTATCATACAAGGAAGGATGAAATTGTTTCTCCTTTTATTATGTGTGGTCTTCTTGTCAATCTCAGCTATGTACAGTTTGTCTTTAAGGTTTTCTGAAAATGACTTTCCTAGCTTTTTCTTTTATTTCTGTCAAACTATTTTCCTAATTCATAGTCAGTACTCCCCAGAACAACATAAATTATATGTTTTTAGGTTAAAGTGTTTAAATAATAAATATTTGATAATGCTTGTTGGTTTATAATGCCATCCAGACTTATTGACATACCTGTAAAATAAGTTTTAGAAGTTATTGCATTTCAGTCATTAAATCTCAATGAAAGATAATAAAAACAGGCATTAAACGTATAATTGGTATAAATGTATCCTGCAGGGAGAATATAAAGCTTAACATAAAGCACTTACTGGCATCACTACAGTACTTAACAAATGTTGATGTTTAAGATTTACTATAAATTTTTTACTTCATTTCAATGTTTTTAGAAAAGACTATCTTGGAAATTTTCATTTGTACTTCATCACTATTTTTATTTTATTTTTTCTGGTGTATGAATATGACCCAAAGCCTTCCGGCCACTAGGTTAAATCAGGATGCTAAATTTAAATCAGTACTGAGACTAAGTAGCGGGAGGTTAAAAAAAAACAAAACAACAGAAAACCTATTTTACTATTTAGGATCTGTAGCCCAATCTGGCCTTCTGGGGTCACCGCATCTAATTGTCCTTTGTTTGTTAAAGGAATCATCCAGAAATCCGACTTTTTGGTGTTAAAAGTCAAGAAATATTTTGAAATTAACTTGATTTCTCCTGTGGGCTCTTTGTCAAACCACAGGAGCTCGTAAGAACGTGCCCTCCTCAAAGTGTGATTTTGGTTTTCCTTGATTCCCCGCCTCGCTTTTATCACGCCCGTCTCTATTCCACCAAAAGGAGTGATTTCAGCAGTCAGGGACAAAATAGTACAAATAAATAAGTCGGTAAGTGCTTCTGCTTGTGAAATTTTTTGGGAAATGGTAAACGCATCATGACACACTGCTAATGAACGTGCAAACACACAAGTGAATTCTCATGCATACAATCACGAGAGAAAAATGTAGAAATTTCCTTACTATCAGAAGCCTGTCCTGCTTTAGCTGGACAGTATGAGGGAAAGGCTGCTTCATGGGTCGAATGAGTTTTGTACTGCTGACATGTTTTCTAGGACCAAATGTATTTGAAGGCGTAAAAAAGATCAGATGTTTATTCCAGATGAAAAGAGCTAGACCTCAAAAGTATGTCATTTTAAAGCATTCGTTTGTTCCACTTAATTCTTTTAGAAATGAACGTCACAGGGAGACTTCTGTCAGATTTGATGCTGCGTCAGAAAACCCTAGATTTACTCCCACTGCTGACGTCAATTAAAAAAGCTCACAGTTATGCTGAATTTGGCTGTTTTCCCCATTGAGTATGTAATGAAAATGGCAGCTTTGAGTTTATGATGAAAATGCTTTGTGGACCAACCTGGTGAAACTTTCTAACAGAAGACTAAGTGCTGTCCTGTGGGTTAATGAGGGTTTGTACAACAGGTTTACTGCAAGAGAACCTCTAATTAACAACTGTGATTTCTTTTTAAGAAATTTTTTTTTTTTCAGAATGCATTTTCTTTGTTTAAATGTTTCAGAATAGGTAGGTAGGCAATTTACCTGTCAAATTATGTGGCTGCACTAAATTATATGTTTATGTTAAGAACTTTCACATTAAGCTGATAAGTGGTTTTAATTGATTCTCTTTTCTTGAAGAAAATCTTGGATGAATATTTCCAGACCATCTGTTTTCTTATAAAGGTTTGTTTTAAGCAATCCATGCACATATAGAGATCTTTACTTTCTGCAGAACTTCATGGGGTTTATATAGTTGAACGACTAAAAGCTCAATTAAATCCGCCTGTTTGTGATACCTCTCTGCCGAAACGTCCAGTATGGTAAAACATTAAAGGTATAGTTCAAGATTTTCATGAATTTCTGAAAAGACCTGCCCTCTTCACTTTAAAAAAAAATTGCACGTGCACAACCCTGTACCTGCTCCTCAGAGGGAACGCTTATTAAACACGTGCAAGAGCATGCATGAGCCCATTTCTCCTTGTGCACACTCTGTTTAAAAGTTGCTGTTTGAATCACTAATACAAGCTTACTTTCCAAAAGCAGATTTACAGTTTTTCCACCATGTCCGACTCACTACCGGTAAGTGAAAATGTGGACGAGCACATAGGACAAACTTACGTAAACATATCACCAAAATAACTGACAATTAGGAAGACCACTTATTTTTATGATCCACCCTCCACTATAGAACGTCCTCCACTATACCTTTAAAGCTTTTTTTCTGTCTGATTGTTTCTGAATTATTGAACGCCACTTTGTTAGCTAATAAGAAATCATTATGTGAACGCATTACATGGTGATGTATTTAAAAGTAAGCAAGGTATCTCAGGCTGCTTGGGATTTGGGTTCACTGAGAATGATGGACCTTGTAACTCTGCTGAATTTTAACCTATATACATATATATAAAATGGGAGTAAGTTTCAAAAAGCATAATATGTATTCTTCAAAGTATGCCCAAACCCTGCAGAGTAATAGATTTTTGGCCATTTATCATTCTAGTGTGTTAAAAATCAAGAACAGAGCAATGCGAGTCGGAGTGATAATGAGCCGGGCCGACCAAAGCAATTTATCTGACTTTGTTTGGGCCTGTCTTCACCCACATTCCCAGCAGAGCTTCAGAATAAAGAAAACGAACACAAGTGTTTCTTCAACTCAGACAACTTTCTTTTTTTTTTTGCCATCGCACCAACTATAAGTAAACACAATGTTTGCTCAAATCTAACTGAATAAACTCAGGCTTTTACTCGTCTGTAAATCGCCCTCCCAGGAGAGACAGGAAACTTTGTTGGCATGCTCAAGATGCACTGGGAATTATTTGGGAGCTAATGAACTCTGATTGATAGGGAGTGATTGTTTTATTTAAATCTTAAGAGATAATTTGATTCCTCAAGGTGACATTGGTCAGAAAAAAGGAGGCCTACTCTACTAATTGAAGGTGTTACGCAGTGAGCATTGAAGTGCACTTCCCAAGAGAGGCTTCTCAGGATTAAACCTTCTAATAGCAGCATCTTTATTAATCCTGTTTTAGGAAGGTGAGTTAGGTGGGCAAAAAAAACATGTGAAAAATGTCTGCTGTGTGAACTAGACAGCGATCACTGTGATTTTGGAGCCAGACAAACAAAACATTGGCTCTCTTACAGAAAGCAGCGGCTGACAGTAAAATGCCGTATTTAATATGGAGTCCAGGCACAGCTGTGTTCACCTACACACCCTCATCTCTCACCGCTCTCTTGCTTCCACTAGTCACAAAATGAGCACAAAATGAAAATAATGATGCTGCAGTGTCACCGGTCACACCGAACATATAGATAACCAGAAAGACTGTTTAATTTGTTGTTGGGACAATTTACAACTAAATTGCATGTATACGTTAAAAAGTAAGTTTAATGAAAGTAGCACAGCTGTGACCATCCTTTTTGGAGGAGTGTCCTAAAGTACACCTTGAGCTGCACCGTCCTTATTTACCTACACTATTAACTTGTGCTCATCTCCAATTTAGAAAAAAAAATGACCGAGGTGAAGACGGAGAGCCTGTCCACGGAGAACACCTAGGACTGATGAAGTTTTAAATTAAGTCCTCATAATTAAAAAGGGTTCACACTGGCAGTTTTTGTCCCGCAGCGAGAGTGAAAGGCAGAGCGGCGGACATGGTCAGGCATAAATCAGAGCGACCGGAGGTCAGCACGACCACGGCGGAGCAGGCACCTCGTGTGATAGATGCCCCCCCTGCTAAGAATGGCTTAAATGAAGCAGAAAGAAGTGTGCTGAAGATAATGACTGTTATTATGGAAGTGTGGGCAGTGCCAAGTTGGGAGTTGCAATTTGTGTCGATGAACTCTGGGAATTAGAAAAGGACTGATGAATATGCGGCCCTTTGGAGCAGAACATGGAAAAAATGAGCCGATGGATGAGAGTAGTAGCTCCAAAGTAGTCGGCTGCTCTTCTTTCTGAAGGTCTGGAAGGCTGATGGAAGAAATGTGTGTCTGTACAGTGATTGGTGAAAAAATGTTCATGCCCTGTGAACTTGAACAGAGTGGAATTTTGCCCATTCTTATTTGCAAGACATCTTTAACTCAGAGTGCAGATAGGTCAACAATCATTTTCAAGTTCTGCCAAGTTAAATTATGCATTCTAAACCATTGCATTATAGCTATATATATATATGTATATCTGAGGTCAACGTCCTAATAGAAAGTGAAATGTTTCCCAGGCTCAGGTTTTTTACAGCCTCTAAAAGGGTATCTTTGAGGATTGCTTCTGCGTTTATCTCTATCCACTTCAATAACTCTCAATAGCTTCCCTCTCTCCTCTACAGAAAGCCTTCCCACATCATAATCCTGCCACCACCGTGTTCTGTCCTGAGGTGAGTTCAGAGGTGCGCTGTGCACCCCTAATAGTCGTTTGGTTGCCCTATCTAACCCTATCAGCTTAGATATGCAGCGATGTTTTGGTAGTGCAATGTTTTTGTTTTTTCATGTCTTCGACAACAGATGCTTTCAAACAAATTAGACTCAGCTACATTTCCCCCAAAATTTTACCTTTGATTAGTCTGATGTGTCCTTTGTCTTCCGGATTCTCTTTCTTCTTGTGTTCTTTACAGCCCACAAAAAGCCCTGACAGAACAGCTTATTAGTGCTACTAGGAGATTTGATAACATGTGCTTCAACTTGTGTTATTAATCGGTTGCCCTCTGAATGCATATGTAGTGAGCTGGAGTTCAGAGGTATCATTGCATCGTAGTTAAGGGAAAGAAGTATACTGTATAGGCAGGCACATTTATCAGCTTTCACTTTAATAATGAGCTAATTGCTGCTTGTCTATCATATGAAATAAAGTTAGAATGAGTTAAACTTTATGGTTGAAACGTGACAATTAAAAAACAAA